CACATCCACAGCTCACACGCACATCCACAGCTCACACGCACATCCACAGCTCACACGCACATCCACGCACACATTCGTCCACATCCTCTTGGAGTCATCTATCCACATAAAATTCATTGAGATTGTAACTTCTCCTCATGGTCGCCTTGTGATTGACATTTTTTTATATGTCTTGTTTCAAAGATTTTCACTATCATCTTAACTCAAATTATAACAAATTGTAGCCTGTCAATGGCTCTATCTAAAACAAAAGTTTGAGAACATTCCATCGTTCTTAATGGAGAATGGGCTGTCTTACACGGAACAACTCAGACATATTTGATGAGCTGGAATTTGATGTAGTTCGGGTCAATATGGTTATGAAAATCTCGGAAATAAATCATATAAAAAGATGTCGGACACAAAATATTCATAAAATTCGATAGTAGTCTGTTTTTATAGAATTCTTCGAGATTCTTTCAAGAATGAGAATAATAGTATATCATCATTTATTATTACATAAGCAGATTTCATCAAAGATACAATGACTAGCTAAATCGTGTTTATTTTTGTTGTTGTGAAGGCTGTTGGAGTCGTTCGTCGAGTAGTTGCACGACAGATTTTTGTTTTAATTAATGTCCAGATTTCTGATACTGACGTCAAATATACAAATGGCATACATAGAGATTCTAAAACAGCTATGAATGCGAAAAGATTCCCTGTCTGACTTGGTATAGTAGAGGGACGAATATGATTTAAGAAGCCGCTGATACTATACGGCAAGATAGTTGCAATACTGAGAAATGATATAGATACCATTTGATAAGTCATTTTACTGTACTTTTGCCAGTTAAACGCTCCCTGAAAGCGACGCTTCGAGTATATTACACGAACTAAAAGTGTAACACTAAATATAGCAGTACATATTGAAGGAAGTATATAATTAACCACTCTGTTCCATAACATCATAGATTGGTAATTAGAGTAACAGGGACCATTGCAAAAATTCTTGTCAAATAGAAATGGATTTTTGCATCTATAATAAGCAAAGCCATAGATATAGTAACATATACCGTAGCCAATAATTATAAAAGGTGGTGCATAATGCAAACATAGACTTCCTCGTTTTGAACGAAGAAGTCGATCATGAAAAATCAGAATATGCCGTTCAAATGAAGCCCATGCCAGTAACATCAGGCTGATTGTCCAAGTACAATAATCGATAAATTGCCACATATAGCAATAGATACTACTCTGAATAAGTACTCTGCCTTGCCAATAAAAATACATCTGTGATGGAATATCCAATATATTACAAGAAAACTGAAGAATTAAGATAATGAGAAGACAATAATTATTAGGTGCTGAACGATGAGTTTTATGAGTGAGTATGTAAATAAGGATGAAAATATAACAAATGAACGATGGCACTCCAAATCCAAGTAAAATATTAAATCTCACCAATTCATTAATTAGTCGAACAGAAGTATTTTGTTGAGTGTTATTGGTATCGCCAATGGTTTGTTTTATATTTATTTGCATCTTGAGTTTTAATCCGTAATAACTTTGTATGTAAATACAGCTATCTTATTATAATAAATTCTCTATTCGTTTTGTTGAGCTTTCATATAGAGCAAGATTATATAGAAACACCTAAGGATGATTGTCATCTAAGAAAATGACGTAGCAGAAAGCATTGACGTTAGTCTCCAGACGACTGACGTATTTTCCAAAGTTTAGTCGTGCGTAGAACATGCTTGCATTATGATAAATACATGAAGACACTTTTGAGAGGCAACTAAGTGAATCGATGTGATTGTTAATTATATCTGGCGTTGGTATTGAAATTTAAAAAATGGAAATCATAATGTTTTATATACAGTAGAGCGCACACTAAAAAATGTCTCGTAGAAAAATCATACTTATTACACAACCCTCG